GAAGAAGAGAAGGGAGGTCGAGACACCATCGTATGAGTCATGGGTCATGTAGACAGTGTCGGGAGTGTTAGAATTATGGGGTGAACTGGATCAGCTTAAGGAGGCTGTGAAGATTCAGGCCCAGTGCAAGTTCCCATGGAAATATCAGCCCAGATCATGATGGATGTGGGATCAAAGTGAGGAAGCGGATGGATGCTGGCATTGTGATAACCCTGACCATTTTTGGAGGGAATGCCCAAGGAGGAAGTGGCACTTGGGGAAGGGAAACAGAAGAAAACAGGGTCCTAATGCTCAGAGAGACAGAAGAGGTCAGCAGGATAATAGATTGGCATAGGAGTGAGCAGGAAGATACTGATATAGAGAAACTGATAAGATAGAAAGAAACGGATAGTGGAGAGTTCCCAGAGGAAATTCAGTGGCATCCTTGCCTGAAAAGCTATCGGACTGTGTGGCCTGAGCTGAGTGTTAGACTATATCCCCTGTCTAGCACTTTCCTCCCTTCCTTCTTGCTGTTCAACTGTTTTCCTGTTGCACCTGGGTTCCCATAGGGGATAAAACTCGTATGTGGGGTGGGAAAAGATCTGTGTTAGCTCATTTTAAGACAGATTCTCTTTGTTTGGTTTAAAAGCATCTGCAGTCACCCGCGTCGGTTAAAGGTCTTCTTTTTAGAAACTTCCCCTTATCTCATTATTTAGTCTTTGAATCAGATATTCTCCCTACTTCATTCCTTTTGGCATTATAACTCATTATTTTCATGGCCTTCCTTCTACTTGCTATCAGGGCCTTTCTTTAAACACGTATGTAGTTCCTTAACCAATAAGCTAACTTGAATTCTTTAATTTTATATTTATCCTACAACCTTCCTAATACCAGTGCCAGTTGTTTTAACTACAAAGGTGTCATCTGCTTGGCAATACAGGACCAGGATTTGTCACCTAGAAGTTCGGAGTGCGGGGGTGCAGAACCAGGGGGGAGTTTGGAGAACCATGGCTCCCACACTTTTAATAGTGGGAGGGCCATTCCCACCCACTTTTCAGGGGCTGTGCTTCATGGCAGCGCCAGCACCTCCTGGGTGTGTGTGCGTGTGGGGTGGGGGCTGAGATGGGCCTTAGTCCCCAATCATCATGGGGCTCTGCCCCCTGCTGCTCCTCTTCCCCCTGAGGCCCTGGCCAGGCTGGGAGCCAGGCCCTGGTAAGAGCCGCCCAGGGAACCTGAGCCACTGTGGGGAGCTCCAGGTCCTCCATCTGCCCTGGCCGGCACATGGAGGTGGGGACATGGACCAGGGTCTGCTCTTGGGCACCTTGTTCCCCCCCGGGCAGGTGAAGGGTCTGGGGCTGGCAGCTCTTACTACAGCCTGGTTCCAGTTTCTGGTCTGGCCAGCGGGTGGGGCCTCGGGGAAGAGGTGAGGCCACTGTTCCAGTACTGAGGGCACTCCCCCCTTTTACGTAGGTTCCAGCGCTCCTGTCTGAGTGCAGATATGAAAGAGATGACTCATTATTATAAAAAGTGGAGATATAAACCTGGTGTGAGGGGTCCCCCCAGGGTGCAACCTAGAACTGGGGTACCGCTGATCCCTCTGCCATACCAGTCTGGGTTCCCTCTCACACAGTGATATTGTGACAAGCTGCAACCCCCTCCAAGCTTGCACTCTCACCAACATTCACAGGCAGGGACCACACCCAGCTGTGTTCATGAATGCTCTGGCCAGTCATTGCATGAACCAACAATAGAGAGTCTCCAGCCAGAATATCCCCAGCTCCCCAGCCTATGACCCCAGAGCTGTACTGTCCTGCTGTGGTCAAAAGCTCAACCAGTATGAATTTATTACCCAGTCCGCCCCTCCCTTGATGTGGAGAGGACATTCACAAAGCCTTTGTTAACTGAGCTGAGATTTTTCACTTCAGTCAAAGCACACTGTTTTAGTTAAAGAATATAAAATAGATTTATTAACTACAGAAAGATAGATTTTAAGTGGGTAAAACCATCTTTGGGTAAAACTCAATCACTTCAGACATAGAGTAATCAGATGTGCTGCTAATGACTATAAGTGGGGTCTTTGTGACTCATCCTTTGCTCCTGTGGCCAGTTAAAAGATGTAGGTCACATTTGTAGGTTGCATCCATTAACAAGGACTGCTTGGACTTTGTCATTGACTTGCATAATGCTCTTCACTCAGCTACTGAATGGTTAAGACACTTAGACTAACACGGTTGACTTGATCGTCTAGATAAATGCTATCACAATATGTACATATATATGTAATGCACTCTAAATTCTCATTTATACCAGATGGTGGAGATTTGAGTTTGTAATATGCATTTGTTTGAGTGCTGTAGTGCAGCATGGTGACAATATGGTGACATTTGCAACAATCAAATGCTTGCTGTGCACTTGTGGCTTCTTGTCCAATGTTTATGCAAGTGGCATTTTCAATATGAAAGCTGTATATACCTCCTGACTTGGTTTGTGTGATACAGAAAGTTCATCTTCTAAGTGTGATCTTTCTAGTGAAAAGGCCCTGGCAATAGCTGTAGAGTTTTGCCTAAAAGTCACTCTGTTTTTACTTAATCTCTATCATTTAAAATAAACAGGTATGGTGACCTTCACTCCCTGCAGCAATCAGGAGCAATAAAAATTTTATTAGAAGATTGTGTGCCACCTGGTTTCCTTATTTACAGCACTGTAGAAAATGATTGGTGCTTTTTATCCCTAGCCATGCCGGGCAATCTGTCACATCTGGTTACTGTTGTTTACTATTCCCCTGACACGTTTTGAGATATGGAAAGTCAGTGCTTAGTAAAAAGCTGCTATTGTAGCACACCAAAATACAAAGGGACAGATTCTTGCCCCCTCTCCAGCCTTTTTGTGGCATGAAGGGGCCAGAAAGCCAGTATGAGCAGCCAGCTGGGGATTTTTGCAAAGTGAGGGGAATCCTGGGTAGCAAAGAGCCAGCATAATTGAATTCTACGTTACCACTGTGACAATCCGTGTCCAGACACCCCAGTGGGAGAACAGAAGGTTTGAACCTCCAAAATGAGCAGTTGGGACCAACTGGTTGCATACTGCATAGTTGTACTATAAAAGTGAATTGAGTGGGGTCTTTTATGAAAGCTTGTGATGTTCTGGACTTGGTCACTATGAGCTATGTATACTGACTGTGGTTATGAACCTAGGTGTTTAAGTACAGAGAAAACTGTGCTCCTGATCGGTACTGCAGTTTTATCATCGCCTCACAATAGGGCGGAGGAGCAGCAAAGAGGGGAGAGAACCCAAGCCCGTTCTTTACCCAAAACCAGCTTCAAGTGACCATGACCAGCCCAGGAAATGACAGTGGTTGACCATTAATGTTAATGGAAAGACATTGAGACAATTGGGTATTTCCCCACTTTGTATAGCAGTAGTGACTGTAGGGAAAAAAAACCCTCCCAAACCTTTTAAAATGGAAGGGGTTTGAAGCAGCAGTGGTCAACTATTTTTTTTTGTCAAAGTCCAAATTTCTTGGTCAAGGTATAGTCAAGGTCCAGACTCCAGAGAAAATAATACCAATAAAAATAATACTAAGTAAATAAAAAGATTTTGGGGTCCATTCAAAAGCGTCTGACTATCCAGATTTTGCCCATGGTCCGTCTATTGACTACCCCTGATTTGAAGTGAAATCCTCTTGAATTTGAGGGACAGTCTCGAAGGCAGGAGGCTGTCTATCAACACTGGATTCCCCACTATGACTAGGGACATGCTGGGAAACTGTTCAAAGAGAAAAGGTACCTTATTCTAGAAAAGAGATTTTTATCTAATATGGAAGTGCAAAGCCAGCAGGTGTTTTTGCATATTTTCTGTGGAACTTGTCTATGTTTGCTTTTCCTTACTATTTCATCTTTAAATCCGTGGTTTTTCTATTAAATAAACCTTTTACCCCTAGCAGGTCTTGGTTGTGCAAACTGTGTGATGTGTGAGTGCAACAGTGAACTGATAACTGGGGGGTTGGTTTCATGCCTTTGGGGTGACAAACCATAGGGGAACAGTCCTAGTGTCTGGTACTTTAGAATTTGGGGAGGATGGTTTGGGAAGACTTGGGACTGGATGGGCTGTTGGTATCACCCTGCAAGGAGTAACTAGGCTGATGGAGGTCAGGGTAAGGCCTTGTGCTTGTGGGCAGGCTGCTGGTCAGAGATCTGAGCCATAGCAGGACAGCATTAAGACACCCCAAAGTTACTGGGCAGGCAGTTGCAGAACTCCTTGCTGTTCTGGGTGAACCCCAAAATATCATAACCACCTTCTGTGCCTCTGCACTGACAATGTAACTGGGAGAAAGGGAATGTGGCTGGAGTGGCTGCTGCTGTGCTCCAGGGATACCTGGGTGCTGAACCAGCCCATCATGTGAACCCCCAGTTTGGGGAGGCTAGCCCTCTGCCCCACCCCTTCTGCCCAAGGCCCTGCCACTTCCGTCCAAAGTCCTGCCTCCACTCTATACCCCTGCTCTTGCCTGCCAGGCCAGAGGAGCCCCAAGCCCCTCAACGTGGCTGGGGTTGTAGTGGGAGCATTAGCAGAGGTTTGGGGACATTTAGCCTCCCCCAGCCTCCAATACATGCTGCCTATGCAGCCCATTGGGACTCTGAAGCTGTTCTACACTGTTCCAGGACCAGGGTTGGTGCAGAATTGACTCCCTCTGTCTCCATTGTAGAAACAGCTCTTTTGTGGCTCTCCTTTTAACACACATCCCTCCCCCAACTTTTCCTAGCTGCAGCCAGCACTTAAGTGAGCACAGTTGGAGATTGAGCTCAGAACCTTTTGAGTTTACTCTGAAACATGACTCCAGCTTGTGATATTAATGATATAGCATATGAATAATCTCATTGTATATTGACAAAGGTATTTCTAAAGTGTTTTTGAAATACAGTTGTTGATGTGTTGATTGCTATTGCTACGTGTTCAAGTCGTGAGCTGTCAAGGAATTATGAAATATTTTTATCCTATGACATTTTATATTAATCTCTCCATAGGGGAAGCCTGTGGGAACGCCAGATGCTGGTGCTTACTTCCGTGTGCTAGCAGAGCATGGAGTGGCTGCCTTTTTTACTGCACCAACTGCAATTAGAGCAATCCGTCAGCAGGACCCTGAGGCAGACTTGGGAAAGCAGTACTGTTTGACAAGGTGAATTAAGGATACATTGGAAATCATTTGTTATAGAAATAGACTTCATAGACTGAGGAGAGTATAATGTCTAGAGCTTTGAACACTTAAGCAGTAGAATATAAATATATAAAATACCAACTGTATTTTATTTATATATGTGTAAATGTGTATAGCGCATGTGTGATATATAAATAATCTACATATATTACACAAAATTTACATTAAAATAATAATAATAAGGTTGTAAAGTCAGGCACACAAAAAATAAGGAATGCCTCAATTAAAGTTGCCTGTGCAACCTCCTGGTCTTTAATTATGTCATCACATACTGCTTTTTCCACAAGACCCTAGCATCATTCAGTATACAGCATGAACAGTGCTCACCTAATGAGCAGCTAATCAGTGTGTTGTTTTGTCCTTGTGTTCATTGTGTTGTCCTAGGCCTTATTTGCTCCACACTATTCAAAGCCTGCTCTAAAGACAGAATTATTAATTTCCCCATGGGCTTTTCTGTAGTGCTCATCAGTATAGCGTTTGTGATGCATGCAGATGCTAAGTATATTCACATGATCTCTGTGCAGTGAGGAGGTGATACTTTTCTCATTTTACAGTTGGGGAGCTAAGATACAGAGAGATTAAAGTCAAAAGTGTACACTAATTTTGGCTGCACAATCTGAGCAAGCTGAAACCTGATTTTTCAGAGTTCTTAGCTTTATATAGCACTCCCATGTTCAAAGTACAGCTCGCACTGAATTCAGTTGCAGCTGTGAGTGCGCAGTACTTCTTCAAATTGAAGTCTCAAGTTGGGCACCCAGAAATTAAGGAACACACAGTTATGACCACCTGTGAAAACTTTGGTTTAAGTGACTTGCCTAACACTATATAAGAACTCTGTGGCCGAGGCAGGGATAGAATCTAGTTCTCCAGAACATTAACCGTGCCTTAACCACGAGACTTTCCTTTCTCTTCCTGCAATCCCCTGCCTCATTCACTTATAGGTAAGGCTAAGATTTTGTCATGGTTATTTTTAGCAAAAGTCATGGACAGGTCACAGGCAATAAACAAAAATTCCCAGAAAACGTGACCTGCCTGTGACTTTTGCTGCTGCGGCTCCATGGTTTCCCCTGCCACCATGGTGGCTGGGAGTTGTGGGGCCAGTTCCCCCTCATAGCTGTTGGGAGCTGCAGAGTGACCATATTTCCTAAAGAAAAAATGGGACACTCCCAGCCTCTTGCCCGAGGCATCCGCCTTCCCCTCCCATGTTCTCCACCGTCCCTGCACAAGGCTGTCGCCCATCACTGGAACCCTGAGGAGGGCCCCCTCAGGAGTCTGTCACCTGTCACTGGAACCTTGTTGACTGTGGCTGCTGTCTCCTGTCACTGGAACCCTGCCAGGGCCCCAATGGCTGCCAGCTCCAGAGTCCGGCAGCCCCTGGGGCTGAAGCAGAGAATGTCGGGGAGGTCTCTGGAAGTCTGTGACTTCCAAGACCTCCGTGACATAAACGTAATGTTACTTATAGGGTAACCTTCCAACTTCTGCAACCAATGAAGCAGGGGTCCTACTGACAAGTTTCCTTTACTACACAGCCTTGATTGATTCCTAGACCACTGTCCATCTTGTGCACTGGATGAAGCAGGGGTCCTATGAAAAAATACTATGTGATCATGTAATTAAAGATTGTATCATAGAATGTCAGGGTTGGAAGAGACCAGAGGTCATCTAGTCCAACCCTCTGCTCAAAGCAGGACCAATCCCCAGGCAGATTTTTGCCCCAAATCCCTAAATGGCCCCCTCAAGGATTGAACTCACAACCCTGGGTTTAGCAGGCCAATGCTCAAACCACTGAGCGCAAATTACATAAACAACCTTAATTCTGGTATTTCCTAACTGTTCCAGTCCTGTCTCCTCCTCACCCTTGGCTCCTTGTCCCAGTTCCATTCTCCTTGCTTTTCTAGTCTCTATTCCTCAGACTTCTGATCCCAGTCCTTGCCCAGCCAGTCCTAATCTTCCACTCTGGACTCATGTTTGAATCCCAATCTACTCCAGCCCCAGAATTCCATTCCCTCATCCAATTCCAGTCTCCTCGCTCAGCCAAGCCTAGTACCCCCCTCTCAGCTACTCCTCTTATCTTTCTCTCTTCCTCCCTCCCTCAACTAACTCCTAGTCTCCCTCACAGGACTCCTCCCAGTTCTCTGTATGAACCCCAATTCCTTGTCAGCTTTTTCTTCCGTCTCCCACTGGTTCCTAGTTCCAGGCTTCTTGTTCACTACTTGCAATCTTTCTATCCTCCAGCTCCTCATGTGATCTGTGTCCCCAGTCCCAGTGTTCTTGACCAACAAGTTCCAGTCTCACTGCTCAGCCAGTCCCAGCCTACCTGCCCCGTCTCCACCGTACCCAGTCCCATTCTACCCCCTTCCAACTCTCTTGGTCTTTCTAGACTTTGTCCTAATCTGCTCCATTCCTTCCCCATGGCCCAGCTTTTGTCCCTTCAGCATTTGAATTAAGGGGCTTCCTCCTCCAGCCTGCCTGGGTGCCAGCAGGTGGATCATTGAGAGCACATGAGATACAGGCTCCCTGCTGTCCATTCCGGTGCTTGGCCCCACCCTGTCCTGGAGCAGCTGGAAGTGACAATTACAGGGAAAATCTAGTTTTGCCCCTGTTGCCTTTGACTGAAGCATGTTCTGTTGCTCTGTGGAGACGGTACATGCACAGTGCATTCACGCATAGGAGATGTGAGGGAATGGAGCATGCTCAGTTGCTCTGTGGGGATGGCATGCAGAGTCTGGTCAGCATTAAGAGCTGTGAGAGGGATGAGCATGCTCAGTGAGGATGGATTCTGGAGATTTTAGCTGGTAAAATCGGAGTCTCTACTGAGTATGTGCAAATTGTGATTTTTTTCAGAGACTTAGAACTTGACCAAATTTGACTGGATTTTCACTGGGGTGGCAAAAGGCACATCGCTGTTACAAAGGTCACCCCCTGTCAAATTTCAAGTCCCTGCTGCAAAGCCTGGGGGCACTAGTTTTCTGAAGAAAAGTTTGCCAGAATTTTTTTAACGTGCCTTGTTCTTGGAAATGGCTGAACAGTTTTGTCTGAAACTTAAAAAAAATCAATCTGAGGCAGACAGCTGGCATGAAAAATCTCAGTCGAATTAGTTACAGTTTGATAAATTATAAGCAACTGAAAAGCAGTGTTTTTTAATGGGAAGTGCTGGGCAATCTTAATAGGCAGTGCAACCTGCCCCACCCATAACATATGTGTAATTTATTTTTAGCAAAGACATATTTAAGTATTTCTGTTTAAAGTGCAGTTAAACAGTAAAATATGACTATAAAATTGGAATCTGGATGTTTCTTATCTGTGATTATCTCTCAGTGACTTCTGCATCAAATTTGGTCAGCTCACAAATAGAGACAAAGCCTTTAAGTACCAGTCCTAAAAACTCCTTCTGGGATGTGATAGTCAAGCTGTTCTTTCTGGCTCTGGCATCACCAGTAATAAAGATTGTGCATCTGGAACCTAGCTAACCATTTGGTTCATGTGTGATGAAGAGCAGAATCTCTGAACGTGTATGTGAGACCTTTTGGAAGACTCCAATGCTGCCAACACCCAGCTATATATCTCCTTCTCCTCAGCAGATATGACTCATGCATTTCACCGATGTCACGATGCCTTCAAGAGACGAGCACCTGGATTAAAAAAAAAATCTGTCTTCATTGGAAAGGGAGAGTGGGGAAAACACTTGGAGCTAGTCAAGGCAGTATCTTTCAGTTGTCAAGATGATGTTAGATGATAATAAATTGTATAGTCAGTTGCTTAGCCACGCTTTGGTTTGTTATGAAATATACTCAAGAGACCACATAATCAATGTCAGTCACGTTTATTGCTACAATCCAATAATAATATAATTCAGGAAAAGGGTTCTATAGGATACTAGTCTCCGGGAAGCCGTCTTTTTGTCCCAGTTCCTTAACTTGTTGTTCTGTTCCTTTCCTTATTTTTGTTCCGAATACTAGCATTCCAGGTATTGGTCTGTGAAGGTACCTTCTAGGTTTGTATCATGGTAGAACAATCATATAAGCTTGTCCTCTTCCTTTGGGATATTCCAGTACTGGCCTGTGAGAATAACTCCCTACCTGTTGCTATGGTAAAATACTCGTAAATCCTGGTCCTTACACCTTTCCTATCTACTTAATCCAAAGCTTACTTCAGGTAATGTAAGATGTTATGGGATATTTAATATAGGATTATAGAAAAGGAATAGGCCAATTTAGGCTATTTAACTACAATAATATGTGTATTTAATGCATACTAATACATATACTATAATATATATAAAATGTATGGTGCAAATAATATATATTATTAATATATATATAAATATATATGCTAGCCAGCATATATTAGTCAGCAGTAAGGTTTAGAGGTAATATAAAGATTATTACTTTTCCCTGGTGGTACTCTGGCCTGTAAACTGATGCTGCTGAACAGAATGGTAACTACAGGCCTATTGGACCATAGAGTGATCTATTTTAAACATAACTTCAAGGAGCACACAGTGAAATTTAATTTTATCTGCATAGAGCTCAAGTTATTGTGGCTTTGTGCAGGGGAAATCTACCCTAACAACTTGAGGTATGAGACAGCTCCTGTGTCAGACTGCGGACATAGAATACTAGTAGGGTGACCAGCTAGCAAGTGTGAAAAATTGGGGTGAGGGTTAGGGGTAGTAGGCACCTATATAAGATAAACCCCTGAATATCAGGACTGTCGGTATAAAATTGGGACATCTGGTCACCCTAAATACTACCCACGTGTAACAGAGGTATTAGGCATTATTTACCTTGGATGAAAGACAAATATGAGGGGTATATAGAAGTATACAAAATTATGTTCTTGTATTATGAGATAGGAAGAACAGAAGTTACTGATCTGGTATTTAAAAAATGGCAAATTCAAACTAATAAGAGTAAATACTTTTCCAAACACCACGGAATTAAACTGTGTAACTCGCTGCT